TTCATCGATAGTGGGGTAAAGAAAATTTAGTTTACTGGTGAGGGACTACCATTATTTCCGAATATCTCCCTTCATCATCTACATCATCTGATAATCCTTCTGCTCCCCCTCCATCTTACATTTCTCAATCCCTTCACCATCTCTTTTGTTTGCTTGGCACTACCTATGTAGATAGCTTTATTGTTTATTTTAATGGTTTATTATTTGATGATCAAGATGAAGACGACTCTAATTTAGTAATGAACGATTTTGAAGCATTGGTTGAAGCTTGGAAAGAATTGGAATTTCATTATAGAAATGATAGAATTAAAAAATTGGGCGTGAGCGAATTTACAAAAAATAGATTTGAGAGATTTTTAGATGTTGTGGAGGTATGATTGTCTCATAGTGCGTATTTATCGATTTCTATTTTTGTAAACTTATTTTCTTTTCAAAGGTTCCACCGAAAATCGATCAAATAAACGTTAAAGGTTTTTGTGATTTGCCACGCCAAATGATTGGTTATGCGAAAGAGCATGATATAGAACTACTAACTCATAGAGATCCTACTGGTAATTAATTTATTATCCATTTTTTTGCTTTTCTTTGTTACTCTATCATTTATTTATCAATTGTTTTAAAATAGATATTCTACCATCAACAACATTTCAAAAAGTATTAAAAGATGCAAAGTTTCCTATTACTTCAGAATTGTTACCACGTTGGGTATTAAAATATTCTGTTCTTATAAAATGTCGTGAGGTTGTTGCTAACAAAGGGTAATAATCTTTTAATACTTAATATTTTGTTTTAAATTCTTAATTGTTAAATATTTTGTTAATATTCCGCTTCAAAAGTTTAATCTTAACATTTACATATAAATATATATTTTAACTCTAGATATATCGTCATGAGCAGTACAACTACTGCAAATTCTGATTTTAAATATCCGATAGGATCAATAGAGTAAAAACAAAAAAAAAAAAAAAAAAAAAGGCTTGGCTAAAAAGTATTTATAATTTTAAATAATTTTGGTATATATTAGCATTATTAAAAACGTTTACTTGTTATTTAGGTCTCTTATTAAGTTGCTGGTCAACATGATTGATCATAATTTGGGAAGTTCAAAATATTGCTAATGTTTGTATAAAATGGTCGGTATAACTATTGTATGTTATATTGTTGATTTATATTAGTGATGGTACTATTTAAAACCTGTTTTAATAATTATAATTAATAATTAATAAAAATAAATGGAATTTTGTTTTTACTACTTGTAGCGTGGTGAAGGACTCTTTATATGCAAAGTGATACTAAAATTTTTTATATATTATTAACAGTATAACCGGGAAGCCTAATTTTTCCCCACTTTTGATTTGATATATGAAAATGTTATCGCTAATTGGACAAAATAGATTATGCAACTTTTCGTTACCAATTAAATCCAGCGTAACGTAAAAATGATGACAAAAATCGAAGTTTTCAAAAAATCGTCGGAAGCTTGTAATTTTACTTATGAAATGAAATTATCTTTCGTGTCTTAATAAAAAAAATTTCTTTGAAATTTTAGTAGTATCCATGGCTTATTGCAAACAAAAAATCTGTGCCAGGTTTTGTCGATCATGTGGCGCAGCAAAATTTTTTAAAGTTCATTAATGTTAAGGT